GTCTGGGGGGGGGTATTTGGGGTCTGGGGAGGGCGGATTTGGGGTCGGGGGTCCCTACGAGGTACTGGAAGTCGCAGAGCAGCCCCTCCTGGGGGCTGTCCCCGGCCAGCAGCGTTTTGCTGCTCGAGGTCAGGATGTTGAAGCGGCGGAACCTGCGGGGCACAGGCGGGGCTGCGGGGGCGGCGGGACCCCCGGGAGGGGCAGGGACCCCCTTGAATAAATTAAATATTATTATTATTTAATTTTATAAATGCAATAATTTGATTGAATAAATTAAAAATTTAATATACAGTATAAATTTAAAAAGCATAAATTCAATAAATTCAATAATTGAATTAGTTCTAATTATTATTTAATTTCATAAACCAAATAATATAATATTTATACTTATTGATATCATAAATTAAATTTAAGTGCCCCCTGGAGCTGTTTTTGTATTCATTAAAGGGATGGGATTAAGGTCTTAGATCATTTACTTTAATAAATAAAAAATTGAATAAATTAAATATTATTATTATTTAATTTTATAAATGCAATAATTTGATTGAATAAATTAAAAATTTAATATACAGTATAAATTTAAAAAGCATAAATTCAATAAATTCAATAATTGAATTAGTTCTAATTATTATTTAATTTCATAAACCAAATAATATAATATTTATACTTATTGATATCATAAATTAAATTTAAGTGCCCCCTGGAGCTGTTTTTGTATTCATTAAAGGGATGGGATTAAGGTCTTCAATAATTTACTTTAATAAATGTAAAAAATGAATAAATTAAATAGTTATTTATAATTATTGTATAATTTTATAAATGCAATAATTTGACTGAATAAATTAAAAAGTCAATATAAACAATAGCATAATTATTTATAATAATTATTTAACGGAATAATAAAGTATAATTAAATAATAAAATTAATTTTAGATTAATAAATAAAATTATTAAATTAAGATTAAATAATATAATTATCCCTAATAATTATTTAACTCAATAAATTAAATAATTTAATTGAATAAGTTAAAATTTTAACATACTAAATAATATAATTCTTATTCCATTGAATAAATTAAATAATTTAATTTAACAAATGAAATAATTTAATTCAATTTAACTTAATTTAACAAATTAAATAATTTAATTTAACAAACAAAATAATTTAATTTAATTTAACAAATGAAATAATTTAAATTTATTTTATTCCATTTAATTTAACTGAATTAACTTAATTTAATTTAATACAATTTAACAAACAAAATAATTTAATTTAATTTAATTTAATTTAACTTAACAAAAAATTTAATTTAACAAACACAATAATTTAATTTAACTTAATTGGATTTATTTTAATTTAATTTAATTTAGTTTAACAAACAAAATAATTTAATTTAATTTAATTTAATTTAATTTAACAAACAAAATAATTTAATTTAATTTAATTTAATTTAATTTAGTTTAACAAACAAAATAATTGAATGTAATTTAATTTGATTTATTTTAATTTAATTTAATTTAGTTTAACAAACAAAATAATTGAATTTAATTTAATTTGATTTATTTTAATTCAATTTAATTTAGTTTAACAAACAAAATAATTTAATTTAATTTGATTTAATTTAATCTAATTTAATTTAATTTAATTTAACAAACAATTTAATTTAACTTAATTTAATCTAATCTAATCTGATTTCCTGTAGCCCTTCCGCGGCGCGTGTCCCACCTGTCGATGTGGATCCGGGCCTCCATGCCGTGGTTGCGGTCGTGCAGCCGCACCAGCAGCCGCGCGCGCGTCGAGAACTTGCCGGCCGTGCGCAGCACCAGCGGCCGCTTGCCGGCGTTGGGCGTGCTGGGCTGCTGCTCCACCACGAAGGCGCTGGGAACGGGGGGTCAGGGCTGCCCCGAGCCCCCCGGGCCGCCCCGAGACCCCCGGGCCGCCCCCACTTCTGGTGGGGTTTCACTCCTGGTTTGGCACGGGACAGCCCCAAAATTCCTCCCAGTCCTAAATCCCAATGTTGGAGTGGGTCCAGACACCCAGAGATGGAAGGGACCCATCAGAAATCCAACTTCTGGCACGGGACAACCCCAAAATATGCCCTGTCCCAAATCCCAGTGTTTGAGTGATGTCCAAACATCCAGAGATGAAAAGAAACCCATCAGAAATCCAACTTCTGGAATGGGACCACCCCAAAACCTGCCCTGTCCCAAATCTCAACATTTGAGAGGTGTCCAAACACCCACAGATGGAAGGGACCCATCAGAATCATCTCCAGCTCCTGGTTTGGCACGGGACAACCCCAAAAATCCCCCCAGTCCCCAAATCCCAATGTTGGAGTGGTGTCCAGACACCCAGAGATGGAAGGGACCCATCAGGAGTCAAACTCCTGGCACAGGACAGCCCCAAAATTCCTCCCAGTCCTAAATCCCAAGGTTTGAGTGGTGTCTGAACACGCAGAGATGGAAGGGACCCTTCAGAATCATCTCCAGCTCCTGGTTTGGCACGGGACAACCCCAAAAATCCCCCCAGTCCCCAAATCCCAATGTTGGAGGGGTGGCCAGACACCCAGAGATGGAAGGGACCCATCAGAAGTCCAACTTCTGGCACGGGGCAACCCCAAAAGTCCCCCCAGTCCTAAATCCCAACACCTGAGGGCCTGACAGAGGTGTCCAAACAGTCCCTGAGCCCTGGAATTATGGAATATCCTGAGCTGGAAGGGCCCTACAGGGATCAAAGCCCAGCTCCACACTCAAGACACCCCAAAATCCCACCCTGTCCCTGAGAGCCTTCTCCAAATGCTCCTCGAGGTGGGAAGGGGCCCACAACAATCTCTGAGTCCCAGGACAGCCCCAAAAATCCTAAATGCCAACACCCGAGAGCGCTGTCCAACCTCTGCCTGACCTCCTGAACCATCCAGGGCTGGAAGGGACCCACCAGGATCAAAGTCCAGCGGCTGGCCCAGCACAGGACACCACAAAATGTTTCACCAAATCCCTGAGAGCCTGGACCCTCCCTGAGCTCCTGAGTTACAGAACACCCTGAGCCGCAAGGAACCCACCAGGATCACTGATCCCACTCCAGACCCTGCACAGACACCCCAAATCCCCACCCCATGCCTGGCGGACCCTTGCTGAGCTCCTGAGTTACAGAACACCCAGAGCTGCAAGGAACCCACCAGGATCACTGATCCCACTCCACACCCTGCACGGACACCCCAAAATCCCACCCCATGCCTGGCAGCGTTGCCCAAACACTTCCAGAGCTCTGCCACCCTTGGGACTGTCACCATTCCCTGGAGAGCTGCCCCAAGTGCAAATCCTCCAGGTGCCAAGTTTTCCCCCAAATCTGAGAGCATTGCCCAAACCCTCCCTGAGCTCCTGAGTTACAGAACCCAGAGCTGCAAGGAACCCATGAGGATCATGGATCCCACTCCAGACCCTGCACAGACACCCCAAATCCCCACCCCATGCCTGGCAGTGTTTTCCAAACACTTCCAGAGCTCTGCCACCTTTGGCACCATCACCAACCATTCTCTGGAGAGCTCCCCAAGTTAAAACTGGGGCAAAACCCTCCCTGAGCTCCTGAATTACAGAACACCCAGAGCTGCAAGGAACCCATGAGGATCATTGATCCCACTCCAGACCCTGCACAGACACCCCAAAATCCCACCAAGTATGGGACAGCATTGCCCAAACGCTCTGGGAGCTCTGTCCCCTTTGGGACCGTCACCAACCATTCCCTGGAGAGCTCCCCAAGTTAAAACTGGGGCAAAACCTCCTGAATTACAGAACACCCAGAGCTGCAAGGAACCCACCAGGATCATTAATCCCACTCCACACCCTGCACAGACACCCCAAAACCCCACCCCATGCCTGGCAGTGCTGCTCAAACACTGCTTGCCACCCTCGGCACCATCCCCATTCCCCCTCCCAGTGCTCCACCACCCTCGGGGGAAGACCCTCTCCCTTCCCTGCTCCCTCCATCCCCCCCGGCGCGGCCCCAACCTCCTCAGCAGGTGCGTGAGCTGCTCCTGCAGCCGCTGCTCCAGCAGGGGCGTCTCTGCCACCAGCGGGTCCCTGGCGTACGTCACCTTTTGTCGCAGGTCCCCCAGCGCCCGCAGCAGCTGCCGCAGCTGGAACAACCCCTGGCCCAGCTCCGTGAACCTGCGGGGCCCGGGGAGCTCAGAGGGGCCCGGCTGCAGCCCCCCGAGCCCCCCGAGCCCCCTCCCCAAGCCGTACCAGGTCTCCAGCGGGCGCAGGTTGGTGTCGGCGGGGCCCCCCAGGCACAGGTGCTGCTGCCGCACCCGCCAGCCCCCCAACTCCTGCTGCAGCAGCTCCTGCAGGGTCTCGCTGCGCCCCAAAAGCTGCTGCATCTGAGCCAGCACCTCCTGGGGGGAGATGTGGCTCTTAAGGGGGTGCCCAGAGGGGTAAGACCCCCCCAAACTCAGCCCGGCCACCCCGAGCCCCCCTCCTCACCCGGCGCTGCCGGTCCAGGTTCTGCAATTTGGCCTGGAGGGACTGGAGCTCCTGGATGTACTCGGGGTCCCCGTTCCTCTCCTCACCTGCGGGCAGGGAGTGAGCTCAGGGTTTTGGGGGGCTCGGGGCAGTGCCCACCCCCCCATCTCCCCGGCGTGGGGCTCACCTGGCTGGTAGTGCACCTTGTAGCAGAAGTCAAAGGCGTCCTGCAAATCCTCCAGGTGCCTGAAGGCTCGTTCGGCTTCCTGCGGGCACAGCGGGCTCAGGAGGGGCCGGGCAGCCCCCGGGGGGCTCCGAGGGGGCCTGGGGGGTCGCGGGGTTACCTGCAGGGCCGTGTGGAACTCGGCCAAGCGCCGCTGGATCTGCTGCTCCCGGCCGCTCTCCGGGGCCGGGCTGGGCGCGGGGGCCGAACCCCCCTAAGGAGGGAGAGATGGGGTGGGGGGCAGCGGCCGCGGGACCCCCGGGGGGCGTTGGGGGGCACCCCCAGCCCTGCCCTACCTGCCCCCCGGCCTGCCCAAGGCGCAGGATCCGCCGCTCCTCCTGCAGCAGGTTGTCCACCAGGTTGGCGAACCTCTCCGGCTCCTCCTCGAACTCCGCCTGCGGGGGGGGGGGCTCGGGGAGGTGAGAGAGCCCCTGAGACCCCTCCCCACCGCGCTCCCCCGGCCCCGAAGCGCACCTGGAGGTCGCGGTGAGCCTTGCGCAGGTTGTGCTTCAGCATGAAATCCTCGCGGTCCGAGCCCAGGCTGCCCAGGCGCTCTCCCAGTACCACCAGTAAGGAGTGGAAGAGCATCCGCGCCTGCGAGCAGAGCGGCTCCGCCGCCTGGCGCCTGCGGCAGCGCGGGCTCAGCACCGCTCCCACCCCGGTGACCCCTCCCCAGCCCCGGGTCCCCCCCCCGGTACCAGTTCTGGGTCTCGATCCAGGCGGCCAAGGACTGGCGCACGGCCATGGGCAGCGCCGAGCCCGCGTACAGCTGGTGCACCTGCTCCAGGTAAGTGTTGGCCAAGCTCTGCACCTCCTGCCACTGCGCCATGCTGGGGGGACAGCGGGTCAGGGGCGCACCCGGGACCCCCCCGGGGCCACCGAGGGACCGCAGGGTGAGAAACGGCCGCGTGTGCCAGCTGGGCACACTGGCACGCCACGTACCTGCCCGCAGCACCGGCGGTGCCCGGGTCCCTCTGTGCCCGGGGGTCCGGCTGCTCCGGGGGTCCCTCTGTGCCCGGGGGTCCGGCTGCTCCGGGGGTCCCTCTGTGCCCGGGGGTCCCGCTGCTCCTGATCGGTCCTGGGTGATACCGGGGGTCCCTCTGTGCCCGGGGGTCCCGCTGCTCCTGATCGGTCCTGGGTGATACCGGGGGTCCCTCTGTGCCCGGGGGTCCCGCTGCTCCCGGGGGTCCCCTCGCTCCTGCTCGGTCCCGGGGGTCCCTCTGCTCCTGTTCAGCTCTGGGTGGTCCCGGGGGTCCCTCTGCTCTGGTTGAGCCCCGGCTGTTCCTGGGGGTCCCTCTTCTCTTGCTGAGTCCTGGCTGCTTCAGGGGGTCCTGGGTGGTCCCGGGGGTCCCCTCTGCTCTGGTCCTGGGTGGTCCCGGGGGTCCCCTCACTCCTGTTTGGTCCCGGGGGTCCCTCTGCTCTGGTCCTGGGTGGTCCCGGGGTTCCCTGCGCTCTGCCTCAGCCCCGGCAGCTCCCGGGGGTCCCCTGGCTCCCGCGGGGGTGGTCGCGGACCGGCAGCCGCGTCCTGCGGTGGGAGCAGGGGGTGAGCCGAGGGGGGCTCCCCACCGGGGGCGGGGGGCACACGCACAGAACGCCCACACCAGGACCCCTATCACCCCTTGTGCAGCACCCCAGGCCCCTCCTCAGAAGCTCCCCTAGACCGGATCCCCATTGAACCCCCCGGGTACCCCCGGTGCCCTTCCCGCAGGGGTGGGTGCCCCCGAACGCCCCCGGCCCAGCGGGACAGCCCTCCAAGGGACGCTCTGTGTGCCCCAGCCGGGGTGCCCTGCCTGTGCCCGCCTCACCCGGGGCTCCCCGGGGCTCCCCGGGCTCCAGGACCGCCCACGTTCCGCCCCCGGTCCCCGCCGGGACCCCCGACCCACCTCGGCCGCCACCGGAGCAGGAAGGCGGGCTGGCCACGCCCCCTCCCCGCTCTGCTCGCTGATTGGCGGAGAGCGGCGCCGAGGCCACGCCCCCGTAGCGGGAGGCTTTGAGCATGTTTGTTCGTTTCCCCAAATTTACGTCACGCGAGGGGCGTGGCTTAACGGGCGGGGTTAATACAGGGGCGTGGCCATGGGGCGGGGTCAGCGGAGAACGGGGGAGGGACCCGGGATGGGCGGGGGGACGGGGACGGGGACAGAGGGGACCGGGACAGGCCGTGGGGACCGGGACAGAGCCAGGGGGATGGGGACAGCCTGGGGACAGGGACAGGCCGTGGGGACAGGGGTGACAGAGCCATGGGGACAGGGACAGGCCGTGGGGACAGGGACAGAGCCAGGGGGATGGGGACAGCCTGGGGACAGTGACAGAGCCAGGGGGACAGGGACAGGCCGTGGGGACAGGGACAGAGCCAGGGGGATGGGGACAGCCTGGGGACAGGGACAGGCCATGGGGACAGGGACAGAGGGGACCGGGACAGGCTGTGGGGACAGGGACAGGCCATGGGGACAGGGACAAAGCCAGGGGGATAGGGACATGCCATGGGGACAGGGACAGGCCCTAAGGATAGGGACAGAGCCGTGGGGACAGGGACAGAGGGGACCGGGACACGTCGTGGGGACAGGGACAGAGCTATGGGGACAGGGACAGGCTGTAAGGACAGGGACAGAGCCATGGGGACAGAGGGACACGGGGACAGCGACAGAGCCAGGGGGATGGGGACAGCCTGGGGACAAGGACAGATCCGTGGGGACAGGGACACGCTATGGGGACAGGGACAGGCCATGGGGACAGGGACAGGCTATGGGGACAGGGACAGCCTGAGGACAGGGACAGGGCGTGGGGACAGGGACAGAGCCATGGGGACAGGGGGACAGTGACAGAGCCAGGGGGACGGTGACAAGCTGTGGGGACAGGGGTACAGAGTCAGGGAGACAGGGAGGAACTGCAGGGATGGGGACAGGGTCAGGGCCATGGGGAGAGGGACAGGAGAGAGCCATGGGGACAGGGATGGACAGGAGGGAGAGGGCCCTAGGGACGGGGACAGGAGAGAGCCATGGGGACAGGGACAGGGCAGCGTGGCCACTGGGACAGACTGGCTGTGGGGACAGGGGCTACAGCGACAGAGCCACAAAGGGACAGTGACAAGCCCAGCCCCGCTGCCACCACGCGGCCGCGGCCCGGGTGCCCCAGGGCAGGGTGACCCCTCATCGATCGATCCGTCCCCAAACGCCGAGTGCCACACGTGCCCTTTATTCAGACGATGACCACGGCGCCGCTGTGGGCGGTGGGCACCGGCGAGGGCTCCCCGGCCGACGTGAAGTACCCGACGAGCGCCCGCACGCCCGCCTTGAGCCCCGGCTGCAGCCCCAGCTGCACCCCCAAGGCCACCGGGCCCCCCAGGCCCCCGGTGAGCGCCGCCAGCCCGGCGTAGCCCAGGTCCTCGGCGGCCTCCAGCGCCCGCGTGGACGCCGTGGCCTGGCAGCCCTGGAAGGCGAAGTAGACGCTGGTGCCCAGGTTGTAGAAGACGCTGACTCCCGGCACCCAGTCCAGCACGCGGTGGGCTTCCCGCTCCCCCGCCGGGCTGCAGGCGTCCTCGTCCTCCCGGCGACGCCGCACGGCGCCGCGGCACGGCCGGACCACCGGGAATTGCCAGCCCGAGGGTGCCGTGGGTTCCGTGGGGGTCCGCAGCCGGGTGGGATCCACGCAGGCAGAGCCCCCCGGCCGTGCCAGGCTGAGCAGCAGCAGCGCCAGCGGCCGCGGGGCCGGAGCGCCCGGTAGCCGCGCCAGCCCCCGCAGCAGCGCCGCGCGGGGCAGCGGCGGCAGCCGCGAGAAACCGGGCAGGGCGTCGGGGCCGAGGGCGCGGCACGGGATGCCCGGTGCCCGCCGAGGGACGGGCTCTGCCAGCCCCGCCAGCTCGGCCAGCAGCGCCCGGTCACCGGCAGCCAGACCGGGGGTGACGACGGACGCGGCGCCGCCGAGGATGAGGAGCGGGAGGAAGAGCAGAATCCACATCATGGTGGTGGTGGCTCTGGGAGGTGGGAGAAGGACGGAGCTGCCGTGAGACCCCCGTGGCTGCAGCCCCCCATGCCCGCCCCGTGCCCAGGCTCACCCGCTCGCCGCCGTCCCCTGCCCTGTCCGGCCGCTGCGGCCGCGCCGGCCCCGTGACCGATTTATAGCCGCTGTTATCAGGGATTGCGACACGGGGACAGGGACTGGGCACTCCCTGAGCCCCCCTGCAGACCCACACACACCCAAGAAGGGCAAAAGTCGCTTTTATTTATTTAGGCCCTGGCTAGATTTAAAAACTTCTAAGAAAAAAAAAAAATCCAAAGCCCAACAGATGAGGAAAAGGAATTTGGGGTAAAACAGAGAGATAGTGACATCAGGGGAAGGGGGGGAAGGAAGGTGGAGAAACTTGTTTGTGCAGCCTTTAAAAACAGCATAAAAACCTGCAGAAGAAAATCTGCAGAAACCCCAGAAAAGCTGTAGAAACCCCAGAAAACCTGCAGAAATTCAATAAAATCTGCAAAAAGCCCAGCAAACAGCACAAGGCCTGGGCACAGGCAGGCTAAGGGAAGCCTCTCAGTCCTCCTCCTCTTCCTCTTCCAGGCAGCGGAGGCGCTTCCGCCTCCCCCGGGGCTGTGGATCTTCCTCCTCCTCCTCCTCATCCTCCTCGGGGTGGGGAGCTGGGGGGGCCGGCTCGGTGCCTGCGGATGAGGAAGAGGAGAGAGGGCTGAGCCCCCTGGGGACGTGGCAAAGAGGACAGGGACAGGACAACCCCGGCCCAGCAGTGCCCCTGGTGACACCCAGAGCCCGCTGAGCCCCCCCAGGAGCGAGCAGAGGGGCTGAACCCACCTGAGCTCCCACCATCCTCATCCTCATCCTCGCTGGCGAGCTCCCGGCGCCTCTTGGTGCGCGGCCGCGCCGGGCTGGGGACAGGGACAGGGACGGGGACAGGCTCCTCGCTGCAGGGGTTGCCACAGCTCAGCCCCACATGGGGAGGACACAGGGGGCTGAATCCCCTCCCCAGGCAGGGAGAAGACCCCCCCCAAACCAGGACACCCCACAAGCTGAGACGGGAATCCCAGTCTCACCTCTCCGAGTCTGATCCCAGCCCTGCCGGCAGTGGCTCTGCAGAGGGGCACAAGGAGGGGGGGCTCAGAGCCAGCCCCACACCCGGGGGCGTCCCACACCCCCAGCCCCACCCCTCACCTGGTTCCTGGGGACACCTGGGTGGCCCTGGCAGGTCCTGGGGGGACCCTGAGGGGCCACGGTGGGCGATGGAGGCGGCCGCACGCCGCAGCTGCTGCGGGGTGAGGGCGGCGGGGATGCGCCAGAAGGACTCCTGGGGGGACAGGGGGGACATTGCAGGGCTGTGCTGGGGACAGCGATGGGGACAGGGATGGGACAGCGACCTCACCTGCTCGCTGGCCGGGGGCCGCAGCCCCAGCTGCCGCAGCAGCCTCTGGAAGCGCCGGTTCTCCATGGCGTCCTCGTTCTCCTCCGTGAGCGGCACCAGCGGCACCGGGTGGGACACGCCTGGAAGGGGAGCGCCCTCAGCGGGACCCCGACCCCGCAGACCCCCCCGGCCGACCCCCACCCCGCTCACCGTCCTCCTCGCGGTCCCCCGCTGCCCTCCGCAGGCAGTTCTCCAGCCAGCGCAGGGGCCCGGCCAGCCCTGGGGACAGCACAAGGTGACACAGGGTCCAGCCCCTCGCCAAGCCCACCCGGGGGGGTTCGGAGCCCCTCGCCCACCTTCCCGATGCAGGCGCTGCGCCAGGTCCTGCCCAGCCCCTTCCTCAGGCACCCAGTGCTCCTCTGTGAGGCCTTCCTCTGCTTCGTCCTCATCCTCCTCTTCCTCCTCCTCGCTGTCCTCATCCTCCCCTGAGCTGTCTTGGGTGGGCATGGCTGGGACACCTGTGGCAGCCTGTGGGACCAGCAGTGTCTGGGTGCCCCCAGGGTGGGGACAGGGCCCTGTTTGGGTGTCCCCAGGGTGGGACAGCACCCCCAGGGCACAGCCCAGCACCCTCCAGCCCCCAGGATGGGGACAGGGTCCTGTTTGGGTGTCCCCAGGATGGGGACAGGAGCCTGTTTGGGTGCCCCCAGGGTGGGGACAGGCTGTGTTTGGGTGCCCCCAGGGTGGGACAGCACCCCCAGGGCACAGCCCAGCACCCTCCAGCCCCCAGGATGGGGACAGGGTGCCCCCAGGGTGGGACAACACCCCCAGGGCACAGCCCAGCACCCTCCAGCCCCCAGGATGGGGACAGGACCCTTTTTGGGTGTCCCCAGGGTGGGACAGCACCCCCAGGGCACAGCCCAGCACCCTCCAGCCCCCCATACCTGCCCAGGGCTGGGGCCGTGGCTCTTCCTCCGCCGTTTCTTGTACAGCTCCTTGCGCTCAGCCACCAGCCCCATCCCCAGCAGCTTCTCCACCACCCGAGCCCGCGAGCGCCGCGCCGTCAGGTGCTTCATGATGTTCCCCAGGACGTCTGTGGGGAGGAGAGTCAGGGTGGGGGGCCACAGGGGGATTTTTGGGGTCTGCCCCCCCGTGTCCAGCTCACCATCCGAGCCCTGGAACTCCTCGAAGAGCCGCGTCAGCTCCTCCTCCTGCTCCTGCGTCCACAGCACGATGCTGGTGCCCTTCCTGCGGGGTGGGAAACAGCTGTGGGTCCCTGCCCTGGGGGGAGGTCAGTCCCTGCCCTGTCCCGGGGGTCTCTGACCTGTCCCCGGGGGTCCTTGCCCTGTCCCTGGGGGTCCCTGCCCTGTCCCTGGGGGTCCCTGCCCTGTCCCTGGGGGTCCCTGCCCTGTCCCTGGGGGTCCCTGCCCTGTCGGTGCCCTTCCTGCGGGGTGGGAAACAGCCGTGGGTCCCTGCACTGGGGGGAGGTCAGTCCTTGCCCTGTCCCGGGGGGTCCCTGACCTGTCCCCGGGGTCCCTGCCCTGTCTCCAGGGGTCTCTGCCCTGTCCCCGGGGGTCCCTGCCCTGTCCCCGGGAGTCCCTGCCCTGTCCCTGGGGGTCTCTGACCTGTCTCTGGGGGTCCCTGCTCTGTCTCCAGGGGTCTCTGCCCTGTCTCCAGGGGTCCCTGCTCTGTCTCCAGGGGTCCCTGCCCTGTCCCCGGGGGTCCCTGCTCTGTCTCCAGGGGTCCCTGCCCTGTCCCCGGGGGTCCCTGCTCTGTCTCAGGGGTCCCTGCCCTGTCCCGGGGGTCCCTGCCCTGTCTCCAGGGGTCCCTGACCTGTCCCCGGGGGTCCTTTCCCTGTCCCGGGGGTCCTTTCCCTGTCCCTGGGGGTCTCTGACCTGTCTCCAGGGGTCCCTGCCCTGTCTCCAGGGGTCCCTGACCTGTCCCCGGGGGTCCCTGCCCTGTCTCCAGGGGTCCCTGCCCTGTCTCCAGGGGTCCCTGCCCTGTCCCCGGGGTCCCTGCCCTGTCTCCAGGGGTCTCTGCCCTGTCCCCGGGGGTCCCTGCCCTGTCCCCAGGGGTCCCTGCCCTGTCCCCGGGGGTCTCTGACCTGTCTCTGGGGGTCCCTGCTCTGTCTCCAGGGGTCTCTGCCCTGTCTCCAGGGGTCCCTGCTCTGTCTCCAGGGGTCCCTGCCCTGTCCCCGGGGGTCCTTGCCCTGTCCCGGGGGGTCCTTGCCCTGTCCCTGGGGGTCTCTGACCTGTCTCTGGGGGTCCCTGCCCTGTCCCAGGGGTCTCTGCCCTGTCTCCAGGGGTCTCTGACCTGTCCCCGGGGGTCCCTGCTCTGTCTCCAGGGGTCCCTGCCCTGTCTCCGGGGGTCCCTGCTCTGTCTCCAGGGGTCCCTGCCCTGTCTCCAGGGGTCCCTGCCCTGTATTCTGGGGACTCAGAGGCACCTCTCCCGCGGGAAGTCCTTGGCACTGCTGGCCAGCCCCATCCGCACCAGCTGCTTCACCACCTGCCTCCGCGTCCGCCCGGGCGTGGGGAGATGGGCCAGGATGGCAGCGATGATGTCCCCACCTGTGGGACAGAGAGGAAGCAGGGACAGAGCTCCTGCCACACCCCAGAGACCCCAGAGACCCCCGGTACCTTCCACCTCCTTGTACTTCCAGTACAGCTCCCGCAGCTCCTGCTCCTCCTGAGGGGTCCAGGGGGGCACCCGGCTCCGGGTGGTCCTGGGGAGGGGCAGAAGGGAGGTGAGGGGAGGGGAGGAGGTAGGGGCAGCCCCCTCCCAAGCCCCACTCACCCCTCTCCCTCCTGCAGGGAGCTGTAGCCCTTGGTCATCTCACAGACGATGGCCGGGCTCTTCCAGAAGAGCAGCTCCACAAAGGCCTTTTTGTTGGTGGCCGCCAGCGCAAAGAACTTGCCCAGAATGAACTTGGCCAAGGTCACCAGCTCCTGGGGACAGCAGGAGGGAGAGAGGCTGCAGGAACAGAGCTGGGCTGGGAGATTCTGGGGACTCAGAGGGGCTGGAAGATTCTGGGAACTGAGCGGGGCTGGGGGCTGCAGGGGACTGAGCGGGGCTGGGATATTCTGGGGACTCAGAGGGGCTGGGAGATGCTGCGGACTGAGTGAGGCTGGGGGCTGCAGGGACAGAGCAAGAATGGAGAGATTCTGGGGACTGAGTGGGGCTGGGGGCTGCAGGGGACTGAGTGGGGCTGGGATATTCTGGGGACCGAATGGGGCTGGGGGCTTCAGGATCAGAGCAGGGCTGGGAGATTTGAGGGACTGAGCAAGGCTGGGGGCTGCAGGGACAGAGCAAGAATGGAGAGATTCTGGGGACTGAGTGGGGCTGGGGGCTGCAGGGGACTGAGTGGGGCTGGGAGATTCTGGGGGCTGAGTGGGGCTGGGGGCTGCAGGGGCAGAGCAAGGACTGGGAGATTCTGGGGACTGAGAGGGGCTGGGATATTTTGGGGACTGAGTGAGATTGGGGGCTGCAGGGACAGAGCACAGAGCAAGGATTGGGAGATTCTGGGGATGAGCAAGGCTGGGGGCTGCAGGGACAGAGCACAGAGCAAGGATTGGGAGATTCTGGGGATGAGCAGGGCTGGGGACTGCAGGGACAGAGCAAGGATTGGGATATTTCGGGGACCGAGTGGGGCTGGGGGCTGCAGGGCCAGCCCCCTCCCGCGGGGGGCTCGGGGCCCTGTCTGACCTGGTGCGCAGCGGCCGCGGGGTCGCTGAGCAGGCGGTGGAAGAGGGCGAAGAGGGAGAGCTGGAAGAGC